CCCCCCCCCGCCCCCGACATGGGTAGGTGATGAAAGAGCCAGCCACTGAGTTCATGTCAGAGACAGTCCCCTGCTCCCCTTAACTTGGGAACCCACTTAGAGACTGAGCTGCCATGAGCTACATCTGTGCAGGGGTTCTAGGTTATCTCCATGCATGGTCCTTGGTTGGAGAATCGGTGTTTGCTAAGACCCCTGGGCACAGATTTTTTGGTTCTGTTGTTCTCCTTGTGGAGCTCCTGTCCCTTCCAGGTCTTTCTATCTCCCCCTTCTTTCATAAGATTCCCTGCACTCTGCCCAAATTTTGGCTTCTAAGCAAATATCAAAAGTATTTCTTCATTCTTAAAAAGAGAATGTCTTGTTTCAAAATTGTGTGCATATGACACAGTCCCAGAGAGCTTAGTGGGGTGACTGGTAGCAGGGAAATATGCAATTAATAGCAAAATTTCTCTCCTTAGCACCAGACATCACTGCTTTTGTGTCATCCATTGAGTCTACAAGCCACACTCCTGCTCAGGAAGCAATGTGGGGGGTTGATCCAAGTCACACAGACTTGGATTTGGACACTAGCAGTACTACTTTCTAGATGTGTGATTGAAGTATCAATGTCTACAGATGGTAGAAATAGGCTCTCCCCACCACCAGACACAACTCCAAGAGCTTCTTCAAGGACTACAAGTGCCACCCCACCCCTCCCACCACTCCAAGAACCTGGCACTTTGTACATGGTTACCAATTGTACATCAGTGGCCTGAACTGCAGCTGGCAAAGTTGGGAGATGTGGCTAGGATCCATGAGGAAACAGGAATGCTGAACAGGGGGACCCGACTACAACTTTTGACTAATCAGATTGATCTGGGGAGGTTGGTGAAAGTGACAAAGAACACTGATCTTTGACACTAGCTATGGGCCCTGGCTCTGGCCACAGAACTGAAAATGTCCAAGGATTGTAGTAATGGCCCCTTCGCCTGATTGATAAGAGGACCCAGAGGGGAGGCAACATGGAGTCACACACAGCAAGCTGGCAACCTCTTCAGCTGAGTTCCAGTTTTTGGGGTCCTACACAACATTTTTTGCAGTGCCTATGATGTACTTTTTGGGGTTCTGGGCCCTCAGACTGCTAAAGGTATCATTCTACACGACAAGGCATAGGAAGTGTGCTGTGCTGAAGAATCTGTAGGTTGTGGCCTGAATCTTTGGCCCTTAGGGGGGGCAAGACAATAATAGGAAGGGCAGTGTTAAGAGGCAAACACATGGAGGGTGGTCTTAGGAAGTCTATCACCTTGGAGTTGTAAACAGAACACAGTAGTTTCAACAGATGGATTGAAAGGACCTGGTGCTAACAGAAGTGTCCAGCTTATGCTGATTCAGATACACATTAAAAAATGCTAGAATGTTGGTGATAGAGCTCAGGTGGGTAAAGGCATTTGCCACCAAGGCAGATGGCCTGAGTTCGATCTCCAGACACAATGTGGTAGAACTCACTTTTGCAAGTTGTCTGTCCTCTGACCTACCTCCACATGGATGCTATGAGACACTCCACCACCGCCACACAAAATAAATGTAAAAATATAAAGGCTCTAGAATATTCAGAGGGGAATGACTGCCACAGCCTTATAAACAGCAGTTCACAAAGACTAGGGATAAATAAATGCCAGCTGTATTAAAAGAAAAACTTAGTGAGGTAAATCATGACTAACAGACTGAATTAACTAATTGATTTGTTCATTTAGTGGAACTTTTCATCTTCCTACTTGAGTCTCCTAGGGTGCTGGTATTCTAGGCATTGTGCTGTAATGTCTGGACAAACCAAATTTTAAGATTAGAACCTTGGGCCAGTGAGATGGTTCACTGGGCCAAAACACTTGCTTTGCAAACCTGATAATCTGATCCTTGAATCCATGTATAGGCGGAAGGAGAGAACCGACTCCCCAAAGTTGTTCTCTGACCTCCACATACATACTGCGGCAGGCATGGTCCCACTGTCACATTACTGATGATGATAATGGAAGCCCCAGGTTATACAAGCATATCAGGACAGAAGTCGTCACAGTAATGCCATGAGATGTGTACACAAGAGCATACAAACTGCCCCCACCACACATTATCCTGTTCCAGACCTGGCACTTTGCATAATCACCATCTAGGTGAATAAAAATGAAGATCTGATTCTTTGTTGGACTTGCCATTGGCCTGCATTCATACCTTGCTTGACACTTGGTATCACCTTTACATCACCACGAGTGCAAAAGCTTGTTTTGTCTGAGATGTCTATTTCACATGGCACATATTTATAGAAAGTGTCTCAGCACATTTGTGTAGAAAAATATCCAAAGCTTATCTTTTAGGGTGATTGCCTTTTGCTATCTACATGTAAGAACCAGTATCTGAAAATATACTTTAAACCTAATACATCCTGCACTAATACATAGCAAAGATAGTAAAGGACCAAGAATCAGAAAATATAATTATCTCCTTTTGCAAATCCAAGATAGGGACAAAGCCAAGGGAACACTGGCCTGCTTTAAACTGTTTTCAATTCAACACCAAAGCTCATGAGTGTTGGCACAAGGAATGTGTGTTCTAGACTCATAAAAATCATATCACCTCTGTGTGCACATATATGTGTGAATGTACATATGAATACATCTGTGTGCCTGGCACTGGAACTGAAGAATAACGCTGCCCTCATCTTCAGTTGTCACAAGCGCCTAGAAAAAGGCAAGTGCATTTTGGTGATATGTCCCAAGCCTGAGTGGATACAGAATAGGCCTGAGGATCAAGGCAGAAACAGCTGTAAGTACAGAATATTTAAAGGAATTAATCGTACTACATAAGACAATAGCCAAGTACTGCTTTATGTACACAACAGAAAAATGCATGTTTTTTTTTGTTTTTTTGTTTTTTGTTGTTGTTGTTGTTTTTTGCCTCACTATGTACTTCAAGACAAAACACTAATGAAAGCATTAACGTTGTTGATGGTTCCGAGCTTAATTTTTCTGATTCTGGCATTCAGAGATATCGGCACTGAACAGGGATGAGAGATGAATTTAAAAGTATCCATATGTATAGGCAGTACTGTGCTGTTATGCAACTTTTTGATGTATATTAGGAATTATCTGACACAACTCTTGTTGGCACTCCTAATTCCTCGCACAATCTATTATGTTTTCTTCAAGATCAAATTGTGTTTCAAGTTGTTGAAGTAGTATCACCATTAAATAGAATAAACTATTTTACGTTTTCATATAGATTCTGGGATAGACACTCCCTGAAGAATCCCTTGAAACAACACAAACGTGAATAGAATCCCCAAGAAACAGACAATAGAGGTTTTATTAAAAGGAAAACAAACCTTTTTATTTGAAACTCTCACTAGAGAACAAGGTGATATTAACATGTTCTCAAGTGGATGTCAAAGTAACTGTTAGATGGGTTTATTTTCCTTTTTCTTTTTGTGGGGAGGGGATGACTGTTTCTGTTGCTCGGTTCAAGTGTGAAGGAGATCATTTTGGAGTCTTGTCCTTGGGAGTTTTAATATAGAGTGGAAGATGATCGATATCCCAGGCTCCACAGGATTTACATATCTAGGCAGGAAAAAAAAGGTTAGTAGACTAGGTGCTTATGGTGGCATGGTACCTCGTCCCTGCCCTCCCTTTTGAGGTGACTACTGGACCAAGCTCTCTGAACATCCTGACACTTTAGTGCTCTTCTCTAAATGTTCCCCTCATCAAGAAGCCCACACTACTTCTGACAAGGAAAGCTGTGTGTGAGTGTGTGTTTATATGTGTTTGTCTCATGCTCACAGTTGTGAATGTTTTGGGGGTGTGCATGCTGTATCCTTATGAAGATGGAAGCCATAGTTAGATATCCAGTGTCTTTTTCCATTTGGCTTTAGACTTTTGTTTGAAATACAGGCCTCTGAGACTGACTCAGCTTGCATTGGCTAGCTGGCACAGTTTAGGAATTTTTGTATGCCTCCGTAGTGCTGAGATTACAGCTAGCTCTTTACAAAGGTGATGAGAATCAAGCTCAGGCCCTAAAGGTTGCCCAACAACCAGTTTCTTGGCCTTGATAACTGTTTTGTTGTTGTTGTAGTTTTATTTTTGTTTGTTTGTTTTTGTAGACCAGGCTGGCATCAAAATCACAGAGATCTGCCTGCCTCTGCCTCTCTTAGTACTGGATTACAGGCGTGTGCTATCACTGCCTAGCCCAGCTGACAACTTCTTAAAAGGAAAAACAGCCTTTGGGTTTGGGAAACATAGAATGGAAGACAAGTTATAAAGATCTGCTCTCTGGCCTCTCATGTCCTTCTTTGGCAGCCAGAGGAGCGGGAGCTCAAAGAAAGCCAGTTTTGGAAGAGAGCTTATATTTTACATGGCAGGAGATGCAGGACATAAGCATCATTATAGAGTTCTGTATTCTCTCCAACTTAACTTATTGGGAAAATCTGATAGATCATTCCTACAGACTCACCACCTTCTTCCTCTCCTCCGAACGGCATCTTGGAACGGCTATAGGCAAACGAGTTTTCAAGATTATTTGCTTGTCCAGCTAGGTCGAGATGTGAAAAGGCCTTTGCTAAACGAGCAAAAACAGGTTTGCGTGTGTGTGTGTTGAAGATACCAAAGGAAGATACTTGAGGCTCTTCTCTGCCACTGTCTACCTTATTGCTTTCAAACAAGGCCTCTCCCTGAACCTGGAGCTGAACTGGCAGCCTGAAAGCCTTACAGATTGTGTTACCTCTTTCAAACCATTACCAGAACCTAACCTCTTAGCAGACATATACTCTAGTGGGCCTCAGAGTCAATTTTTCAAGCTATCACCTAGGCAGTGTTTGTTTTGTTCGTTGTTTTTCCACAGTCAGGGTTTCTCTGTGTAGCCCTGGGTGTCTTGGACTCACTTTGTAGACTAGGCTGGCCTTGAACTCACAGAGATCCACCTGCCTCTGCCTCCCAAGTGCTGGGATAACAGGCATGCGCCATGGCGCTTGGTAGCAGTGTTCATTTTCAAGAAACAATTTCCAACTTAACCTCTGAGCCTGTTGACCCACATGTGAAAGAAGCATGTGGTCATCAGTCTCTGGAGTAGCAGTTAAAATGAAGACAGGTAATGTCTGGTTTACACATTCAATAAATAATCCCACATTCAGCATGCAAACATAAGCAATTTGGTGTCAGATTAATCCAGGTTTGAGTTTGGCAAATAAAGCCTAAAACTTCTGTATACCTCAGTCCATAAAATATGGAGGAGGGGAGTGATAATGATCTTGACCCAGCAAGACTGCTGTGGGTTTATTTTGTTTCCATTAAGTTGGGTGCTTGCCATGTTTGGTGTATGCAAACTAAGTGCTCAATCAGTAATAAATATTGCTCAGGATTCTAAGAATGTCATTCATACTTCTCCCACTTTTATTTGGATAAATAAGGTGCCTAAGTGATTCACTTTGAGGGTTTTATTTGAGTTGTCCAGTCTTTTGGGCCCTTTGGGGAAGCTTTCACCTTCCCAATATAATAATAATAATAATAATAATAATAATAATAATAATAATAATTAGTTTCACTAGACCCTGCTTTTAAAAATGCTAGCATTTAACGCCTTTTATTGGCATTTTTGTGAAACTTTTTGAGTTTCATAGATGGCATCTTCATTCCTGTAGTATGGGGAGAAGATAATTAAGCTGAAACTTCAACAACAAAATCAAAACCTCTGATCCTGGTGTGATAGGATGGTGGTCTCTGCCTGCAGCAAGAAGGACCACACAGACAGCAGTCTGTGGAAGCAGGCCTAGTTAAGCCAGCATGTCATTCACTTGCCTGGCTCTTAATTCACACATTTAAGGGGTATCCTTTTTCCTTTACTTGTTAGACCTGATGGGTCAAAGGCCAAGACTATTCCTTGCTTCCTATGCTTGCCCCTGATGGTCCTGCCTTTGTGTCTGGTTTTACTTCACATGCTCCTTACTGCCTTCAGTTGTCCTCTCCTTTAAAAACAGACCCAGGGGCTCAAGTTGTGTGTTCTGACTGCATTTTCACCAGACTGCTTAAACCCAACCCTTTTTTGGTAGTATCACTGTTTGCTCATGTGTATAACCATGAGGAACAAACAAACCTGATGGAAACATCTCAGGAGATTCCTCATCGTTTGTTTCACCTTCATCTTTGGCTTCATCCTCTTTAGATATACAATTATTGGCTAGTTCCGAAAACTATGGTTAGAAGAGAAAGTCATGATTATATGTATTTAATCATCTTGGTTTAAAATTTGAAAGAAGTAGGAAGACACTAGACTGGTGGTTAAGTGTTGGCATTTCAAATAAAATGTTGGTATAATGTTCATTCAAATGCTGATTTCTCTCCCCGACTATCTGGTTTCAATCTGGACATTGCATTGTGATCTTATTCTAAGCATCACCTGTTTAAACATGTGTAAACATGACAAAATAAAACAACCAGCCACAATGTTGAGCAATGGAGAGGAAGAAGTAGGCAGGGGAGTGGAGGAGCCAGAGGGCAGGAAGGAGTGGCAGGCAGAGGAGGAGGCAGAGGCTGGGAGAGCAGGAGCTGGAGAAGAGGTTTTGCAACGATGTGGAGAATGAACTGGACCTAAGATTTCACAAAAAGCAAATATAACAGGTAAAATCTGAATGTTAGGAAACACTGGAGGTTTAGGATGGAGTAACTATTGCCCAGCATTGTGATCTCTGTTAACTAAATAAATCATAGTCTCTGTGTGGTGATTTGGTTATACAGCAGTTTAGGATTAACAGCAGCTTTACCAAAAGATAGATCAATAGTAAATATTAATTGTAATACAACAAAAAGGTAAAAGAAAATTTCTTTAACTAGCCTCATAACAGACATATGGCCTTAATTCTGTCTTTCAGCTAGGGTGACACTCAAGAACGAACTGTTTTCTTGGACAAGAACACAAGGCCTACAGCCCTCAACTCACATTCATTCTCTTCCCAGAATGCTAGTGAAGCTGGGGTGGGAGCAATCAGCAAAGAAAAAAAATGAACTCAGGAGCAACTGCTGACATAAAAGATCTTGGTCCAATGATTGGATGAGATTTGAGGTGGTGACTTAAAGCATTTCTCAGAAATGAAATTTCTTTCAGACACCACCAGGTGCCTTGGTGGTGGGGATAACTATGACCAGGTAAAAAGAGCACTTTGTGACCGAATGTAAATGGCCTAGAATGTAGAGAAAAATGAGCCTTGAGTGCATGTGCTACACTCAGAAGACATGTCAGGAGAAGCAAATAGAAAACAGATACAAAAACAGTCACCAGAAAGGGGAAAAGGCTACATTCGTTTGCAAAAATGAAGAATTCTGGCTCACACCAAAAGATATTAAATGAGAGGAGCATATACCTCCAAAGGACTCCTATGTAGAGCAGGTAAAATCTTCTGCAAATCAGTGAGGAAAAGCAGGTGACAAAATAGGCTGATGGACACGTGGTGGGAGAAGGCATGTCACCAAAGAGGATGTCTGAGTGTTCAGCAAGTATATAAAACACATCTGATAACAGCAGATGTTGATAAAATCAACATTAACTTCAGGATCTCCTCCCCAGCAGAAAATGAAAATAAGGCAAGCCACAGATTGGGAGAAGACAGAGCTCCAAAATTTTAGGCAAGGAGACCTAAGCAAGTATTTCACACAAGACAACAAAACTAAAGATGAAAAAAAAAAATAAAAAGCTCTTAGTTTTTAAGGACTAGGAAAACAGAAATGTGACACTGTGTTTCATTACTGGTAAAAATGAAGAGATGCCAAGAGCAGAAAGCAAGAGAAATTCACATATACTCAGGTAGGAGAGAAGATTACATTTGAGATATTAACGTCTGTCTTCCTTGTTTGCTTCATTATTTCTTCAACCCTCTATTTAAAGAGAAATATACATGTAAATATGAGAGATTTTTAAAAAATCAGTCTTAACAAAAGTCTTGGGGCGACAGCTAGGTTCCTCTTCTGTTCCTGGTTTCATGTATAAGATGCTGTGAATGGCAATGGCAGCAGTTGTTTTCACTGTGATAACACACATCCAAATGGCAATTCAGTCTTTCTTCACAAAAGTGAAAATTCATGTTCGACTAAACACATATCATTGCAAACTAATGAGAACTCTCAGACCATGGCAGCAGATGACATTAACAAAAACAGTGCACTTCAATAATGCTATGGTTCTATGAGATCTTGTTCCTCAATCTACAGAAGGCAGAAGAAGCATGTATTCTAGGGAGAGTTAAGAATTCTCTCCACTAGTTAAGGTAAGGACAGGTTTGGTTTCCTGGCTGCCTCGGAGTGACAGATAGAGATCTTTCGGTACCTCAGCCTAGGCAGGGACTACTAGATGAACCATATGGAGTTGCATAAAACGAGGCTCTACCATAAACAATCCAAACCTTGGCCTTTCAAAGAGGCCTCCACTTACTCCTACTATAGGTACTGCAACTCCAGCCCACTTTAAAAGAAGCTCTAACTTCCACTCACCCCTGCCAGCTTGGAGTTATTCTGGTAAAAGGAACGTTGATGCTACAGGTTTGATATATTGAGACATTGCTGGGATGCCAACCGTAATGTACAAGTGCCAAACTTTATGGTGCTTATGAAGAAAGCCTTTTGTATACAAGTCAGCTTTTTTTTTTTTTTTTTTTTAGATAAGCAACTTTAGTGGGTAGACAGCTAGGGACTAACACATACCTGATGCAGGATTTTCAGAAAAATATGTGGGTAACTGGTACCCAGTGTTAATTAACACAAAGCACATGAAACAGGAAGTTACCTTTCTTCTTTCTAATCTTTCTTGCAAATTTTGTAACATAAGTTTTTTATTTTCCCTTGTTCTCTCTTCAGCTCTGTCCTGAGATTTCATCATGGCGCTGTCCCCTTTCTAGAAAATTTGTGCAAAAATATTAATTTCAATATATCTGAATGACAAAAATTTTTAACCTAAAATATTAAATTAAATAGTTGCAATTAAATGACCATCGTTTAGTTTCCTTTTTCAAAATCTTGTTAGAAAGCCCAGATTGAAGCTGGGTGAGGTGATACACACCTGTAACCCCAGCACTCAGGGTGGCAGATTCAAGCAGAGTTCTTTATGAGTTCAGGGCCAGCCTGGTCTACAGAGCTGGTCTAGGATAGCCAAGGCTACACAGAGAAACCCTATCTTGAAAAAGAAGAGGAAGAAGAAGAAGAAGAAGAGGAGGAGGAGGAGGAGGAGGAGGAGGAGGAGGAGGAGGAGGAGGA